GTAGAAAAGTTAATACAGTATGATTTCTATATTTGTTCGTAAATTTGATTAGAAATTTTAATAAGAATTTTGATAATTAGCTATGAAGCTATTGAATAGGATATGTTAAATAGTAATATATATTGAATGAGTGAAGAAGAAATAAGGCCTTTAAGAGTAAAATAAAGAGAGTATGAATAAAGAGTAGAAGGATGAAGAGAGAAGGAAGGGTGATATGAAATTGTATGTATTAAGTAATTAAGTTTGTAAGAAGCAAGATCAAGATTGGCATTTAAAATAGTTTCTAAAATAGAGGAATTAATAATTTGGGATAGGAGGTTATAGTGAGAATAAAGATAACAATGAGAAGAAGAGTCAGAAAGATTGCATTAAAAACAGTTAGAAGATGAGAATAAGTTAGGTGAAATAGAATAAAAATGAAAGTGTATAGGTAGACTATTAAGTAATATTTTAATTTTAAAAGATTTAAGGTAACTAAGTTTAGGATTAGTAAAATTGTATGAATGTTTATGATTATTGTTAAAGTAGAGCTATGTAGAATTCCAGTCAATAAGGTTAAAGAAGTGTAACTATTTATCAGTATGTCTTTGGGAGAACCATATAGAAATAGTATTAGTATTGCAGATATTTTTAATGAAGCGTCTAGAAGGGCTATCAATCGAGAAATTTTTCTATTGGAGGAAGAAGGAAGAGTTATGTATATTAGAATAGTTAAACAATAGGATTAGAGAAGAAGTATAATTATTAGCAAGGTAATCAGCTAGGGTATTGAAAGTGTTATCACTGTGAGCTTGGACTTTATGAAAAATTAAGTCAATATATACTTTGATTGAGTTAATAAGTGTATGCCAGATTGGCCAAGAATTGAATTTAAAGTATTTAGATATAGAGTAAGAAGTTTGGAGGAGCTTATTGTATTTGAAAATTACAGATTGAAAGTCTGTATAAATGTTAGCAGAAGAATTGCATGGAAGAGTAGAAATAGCAAAGAGGATAGCAAGAAGCTCAGCTTTATATAACAAGGGCCAGTTGGAAATTTGAGCAGAGAAATTGTAAATAACAGAGTTATTGTGAACTTGGGCCCATTCAATACTCATACCAAGGTTTTTGACAAAGCTATTTGTATAGAAAGCGAACTCTTGATAGAGTTGATTAGCTAAAGCAATTTGGAGTAGATTATTGAAAGCAGTATTGTTATAAAAAAGGGATAAAGTAAGAGAGTCTACAAGATTAATAGAAGGTAAAGATGGAATCTCAAGTGGGTTTTTAAAAATAGTAAAATAAATAAGATCAATATAGTTGGCATTAAGTTTAAGTTGATTATTAGATTTTCTACCAAAAAATTGGGTAGAAAAAATTGAAGAAACTTCAAGTGTACAATGATTAGAAATACAAAGGAGTTTAAACTATAGCCTTAACAGGGCTTACAAGTGATAGAAGGAAGAGGATAACAAGTAGAATGAGAAGAGTTAATATCATGTAGCCAGTGAGTAATAGAAATTGAGTTGGATTGATAAAAGACTTTGCGAACTTGACCAATGATAATATCATTATTATAGCAGGCAAGGACCCAGGGCTTATTAGATTTGTTAATTGAATTAGTTTGATAAACAAATGAGTTAAGTCCAGAAGGTTAAAAGGAGAGAATAATAGAATGAAAAAAAGAGTGTGACAAGATAGTATATTCTAAGTAGAGAAACCAGATAGGCTTTTTCTCTTTGAGAATATGAAGTAATCTGGGAGAAAGATGAGACCAATCAAGTGTGTGCTATTGTTAGCAGAGCATAATTGTTCAAAAAAAAGGATATTTTTGTGACGAAGTTGCTGTTTAAAAGTAGGGTATTTGAAATGGTAAGAATGAATATTTTCAAGTGAAGAGCTACCACCAGATATGGTTTGTGGCCAGGATATATTAGGGCTAGAATGAATAGATATACTAAAGGGAGTTAAAAAGTTGTATAATTTTAAATGTAGTAGTATGTCTATTGGGGCTATCTATTAGAGGATTAGGATGTTGAAGAATATTAGTAGTAAACCAAAGATTATTTTGAAGTTGTTGAAGTAGGGTTTGGGTCAAAATCCCGACAAACAAAATCCTGACAGGTCATAATCCCGACAAAAAAATCCTGACAATCAAAAATCCCAACAAATTCTAACAATCAAAAAAAGTGTTCGTTGAGCAATTTTACTATATAAAATCACCTATACCCTAACCCTAACCTAGACGCACACCCTAACTCTAATCTATGCACTCACCTAATCTTACTCTAACTTAAATAAACAATAATTTTTTGTTGTTGAGATTTGTCAGGATTTTTACTGTCAGGATTTTTTTGTTGGGATTATGACCTGTCGGGATTCTGTTTGTTGGGATTTTGACTAGCACCCATTGAAGTGAATAAATAAATTTTATATAATATCTAATTGAGTTTATACATATTTTATTAGGAAATTTTTAAATAAGATGCATATCGATTACTAGCTGCAGGATTAATTGCAAGTGATTTATATCGATTATAATCGGTTGTAATCATTTAAATTTAAATAATTGCAATTGATTTATATCGATTACAATCAATTGTAATCATTTAAATTTAATAATTGTAATCGATTATAATCAATATAAATTGATTGCAATTAACTCTACAGCTAGTAATCGATATGCATTTTATTTAAAAATTTCTTGATGTTATTTATTTATTTTTAATACTTGATTTAATTATTTATTTAATATGTTTTAGCCCAATTACATATTTGATGATAATTGTTTATTTATTAACACAATTACTAAATACTAATAGGACCCTGAACAATATATATAGAGGTTACATTGAAATTTTGGCTAAAAAGATTACTTTTTTACAAAAATGTTATATTTGAAAAGCAGATATTGGCCAAAAGGTTACATTTAAAAGTGGATAAAAGCTTTTAATATTATATTATTAAAAGTGGATAAAATTAGTAAGTTTTAAATAGGTTATATTTAAAATTTGGATAATCGAATAAAAAAAAAATAAAAAATAATAAAAAATAAAAAATAAAAAAAGGAAAAGAAAAAAAGAAAAAGAAAAAAAGAAAAAGAAAAATTTTTTATTGAGAAAATTTTATTAAGAATTTTTTGAGAAATTTTTTTTTTGAGAAAATTTTTTGAAAAAAAAATTGTTATATTTAATAATTGGCTAAAATTTATTAAATATTAAAGCTTATATGTAAAATATGGTTAATTAGCTCTAATAATAAGTGGATAAAAATTTTAAAAAGTTTATTAAAGCTAATGTAACCTATATATATATTGTTCGGGGTCCTATACAAATCCCGAGTTTAGGGGCGTCATTCTCATATTACACTAAAAATAGAATTTGACATAGCTTATTTATTTATGCATTATTGTGTGACAATTAAACTTTGGTTGCATTTGTTTATATAAATCTAAAAGCCCTAGTTATTTCACAAAAAATTTTCCACCCCTGTAATATTGGCTAATCAAATTTCAGGATCAGGTGTAATGTAAAAATCAAAGCGAACCTATTTTTTTTACAAAAAAACGAAAATAGCTTTAAATTTTAATTATAAAACAACCTTCTATGGCTTAATTAAAAATGTTCCTCATAAAATTTTACTAATAAAACAACCCAAACCCATACCCTATGCTTTTCTCACCATAACCCTAACTATAATGCATTTGTTTTAACCATCACATTACACCTGATTCTGAATTTTATTGGTTGAAATCACAAGGAGTGAAAATTTTTTGTGGGATAGCTACCTACGTTATATAATATAAAATTCTGAGATTGGAGTATCATTTTGTGTAACACTAAAAATAGAATAATAACAGAGATATAGTTCAAGTGATATGAAAATAAAAGAAGTAGATTGCGAAGTGAATATATAGTTCAAGTAATACAAAAAAGGTAAGAATATTGTGAGTAAAAGTTTAGTGTATAAGTGATGACTTTAAACAAAAATAATAGAAAAACCTATCTGGGTAATAAACAAAAGAAAATAGATGATATAATCTTTTGGCATTATTGGTTGAAAATATGATGAAAATAGTAGTTGAAGTCATAAAAAATTTGAAAATAAAGCAAGTAAAGTGATATTATTATAGGCCACAGCTGTGTTATGTATGCCAGCATCTAGGGCATTTGGCTCAATATTGCCTGTTACAAATGCTTGAAAATGAAATAAAACAGAAAGATCAGTATAAACATCAAAAGAAGAATAATTATAGAGAAAAGAAAAAGAATACAAATCTAGACAATGAAGTTCAAGATATAAGAATCTTTAGCATGATAAAGAGCCATGGTGTTGCTGTTAAAAAAGATAAATATAAAGCAATGATTTATCATTAAAAATCTAAAATAGATAATATTGATGGTATTGAAGAAATTGGAGTAGAAATGAATAAACATAAGACCTTTGTTAATTATCAAGAGATGGGATTTGTCAAAATTAGTAATTGTCATCTTTATAGAAATTGAATCGATAATGAAATGAAAAGACACAAAATATTTGGTTATTATCAAAGATTTAATTTAAGTCTACCAAAAAACTTTGTTGCAAGTTTTGTGTGAATAAAAATGGTTTATTTATTAGATAATAAGTTGGTATTAAGTAGACAATTGGTGCAAGATGAAAGTAATATAGGAGCAAGTAGGTATAGTTGTGTTGAGTAGGTAAGATTGTGGCATTGCTAATGAGTAATGAGTATGTGATTAGTTGTTGAATATTGGCATTTGGCTTTACCAACAACAAGTTGGTTATTGAGTAAAGAGATTAGCCAAGGTTTAGTATGTTGATAGAAGTGGCCAGTACTATAGCTATAGTAGTTAGTAGATGGAAGAGTAAAGTGTAAATAAATAATTCTCTGGAAAGAACTAGAAATAGAAATGTTTTTTAGTGTAGTAAACCATTTAGGTATTCTGCTTTTTGAAATTTTGTTTAGTCTTGGTAAAATGTGTTGTTATTCAAGCAAACAAAGATTGTTAGATATAGTAAGCTGATCGAGAAAAAGTAGATAATAGTGCCAAAGTTGTTTTTTAAAAGTAGAAAATTGAGGGTGAGAAGCAAGAATTGATTTAAATAAGGTTGAACCTTTCTAAATTGTAAAAGGAATAGAGGTGTTGGAGTTGGAGCTAATTGTCCAATTAATATATTTGAGAAGCTGAATGATTTTAAAATTAGTAGTGTTTTTATCAGGGCCTTTAATTATAGAATTGGAACAGGAAAAGATATTTACTAAAAACTATAGATTGTTCTATAGTTGTTGAATATGGATAAGTGTAAAAGTGCTAAGGAGATAATTATTGTTGAGCTATTTAATAAAGTTGGAAATATGATATTGCAATTGAATGTCCCAGATATTTTTGATATTATAAATTTGTAGATGAAGTAGAGTACTAGTAGAAATAGTGCAGCTAAGTTTGGCTTTGTACTTGACTAGACCAATATAGTGTGTGAAGATTTTATTACAAGGTTTGGCTAAGAACAAAGTTTTGTAATCGATATTCAATAGTAGGTATAATAACTGTATTGATAATATAGCAGGTTTGTGTGTCTGTAATTTTTTTAGAACTAATTGTTTAATAAGTTAAGAAGACTCATTTGTAATTTGTTGTATTTGTTTTAATTGTTTGTTGTCAAGTGTAAACCAACACCCAAGAAATTTAAGTAGTTGGTGTGGTAGTTGTAGTAAAAGTGTTTGGTTATTGAAGATAATTAGATAATGATAATTAGAGATTGAATTAGTGGTAAGAACTGATTTGTTTGGGTTTACTTGGATATTAGCTATAGAGTAAAAGAATTTTGCAATTGAAATTATTTTAGCTAGTTCTGTGTATGAGAATGCAATCTATAGGGTGTTATTTATATAAGCAAGAACCAAGCATTTGGTTTTAAGTTGGTTGGTTGAAAAGTTTTTTAAGCTGGTAAACTATAAACTTTGTATTTAATATCCAAGCATAGTAGAATATATAGGTAATAAGAGGGTCATAGTAAATACGCCAAAATAATTATAACCAGTCATTATTTCTTTATATTTTCGCATTCAAAGAGAAGTTATCTCTTTATTAATTATGCAATTTTCTTTTATACAGTACAATGTAATTTACTAACTACATAATTGTAACTACATTGTTTATGTGAATTACTAATTAATTCGCTTAACTATGACCTTGCATAATTGCATTGTTTAATTTTCCTGGGTACGATTACGATTGACGATCATAATCATACTACAGTTCAATTAGTATTCTTTATGCTACTTACCCAATTACAGACTAATTACTACATTTAACCACCAGGTTACGATCAATTGACAATCTCTGCATATTAGTGCTCCTACACCATTACAACCTGATCGATCTGCTGAGGTATAATTTGTAACCTTGTTACACTCTTTCCTACCTAAACTAGAACTACCAATTTCCTTGTTACCCACCTCATACCTTCTCACCAGCTCTATAGCATTTTCCAAGTTTGATAATAGCTCCCACGTTGCTTCATAGAGAGGATAGTCTTTCCATTTAATCAGATACTGGGCTTCCGATAGTAGATTCATTTGTCCAAGACCTCTTTGACTTCAAATTCTGGTTCAGCATTTAAGTCATCAATAAATTCCGGAGGTGGAGGCAACTCATTTTTCTCTTCAAACTCATCTGGCACATATAGTTTCAACAATGAAATATGAAATACCAGATGTATTTTTAGTTGGGGCGGTAATAAAAGCTTATATGCTGTTGTAGATATTTTTCTATCAATTTTATATGGTCTAATAAATTTTGCTATTAGTTTCTTAGAGGTTCTTTTCGAATCTACTACTGGCATAAAGTGCCATGTGGAGAGCATTACTTGCTCACTCTCCTGTAATTTCACATTCCTACAGCCTTTATCATAATATTTTGCTTGCCATTCTTGAGCTGCTACTAACATATTTTCATAGTTATAGCCCAATGTTTGTACAGGTCATGTGCCACCTTTATCTTTGTTTTATTTAATATCTTTGCTGCTATGGTGCTAGGGATTATTGTAATTTAATTAGAATGGAGTAAAGCCTGTCGACAATTGTTTAGCATTATTGTATGCGAATTCTGCAGCTGGCAACAGCTAGTCCCAATTTGCTTGTCTGTAATTAATATACGCCCATAGCATATCCTCTAAGATCCTATTTGTTCATTCTGTCTACCTATCCATCTGTGAATATGCAGCTGAAGACATATATAGCTTAGTTTCTAGTAGTTCGAACAATTTTTTCCAAAATTTATTTACAAACTTCGGGTCTCGATCAGACATGATACCATATGACAACCCGTGATTTTTAAATATTTCCTTAAAATACAGTTTTGCTACTTCCAGAGCAGTGACAGTTGAACGAGTAGAAATAAAATATACTCTTTTACTGAAATGATTAACTACCACTATAATGGCGTCATATCCTTCTGCTGTACTAGGCAAGTGTATTATAAAATCCATCAAAACTTGCTTCCAAGACTGTTTTGGAATAACCAATTGTTGCAGTAGTTCAATAGGCTTCTTATTCAGTGCTTTATTTCTTTGGCAGCTTTTACAGCTGCTAACATATTTTTTTACATCCCTGCCTATTTGTTTCCAATAGTATAATTGTTGTAAACTGCTATATGTGCGGTCCACTCCTGGATAACTGTTAATGTTATAATGTTCATAAAGTATCTCTACTTTTAGCTTCGATGTGTACAATATACATAGTCAGGAATTTTCTAATTCTTCAACTAGATACAACAACTCATTTTCCTCAAGTCAATATCAATATACTTGCTGCTTCAGTTGTTTAGCATTAATACTATCTGGCTCACCTAGAGCATTAATCAATTTTGCCAAGTATTCATTTTTACTATATTCTTCCCAAATTGTTGCATGAAATTTGGGGTCCATATGTATAGTCAACATTGCATTAACTTCAGGCTTTCATGAAAGAGCATCAGCAACTACATTATCTCTTTCAATTTTAAAACTATAAGATTGCAAGGTTTCTACCCACCTAGCTTGTCATCATAACAACTTTGACTAAGAGTTTATAAACTCAAGTGATGTGTGGTTAGTAATAATTGTAAAAGGTTGACCCTCCAGATAAACTTTTCATACTTTTAGTGCATATATTATAGCTAAAAGTTCTTTCTCATGAATTGGATAGTTAACTTCTGCAGGTGTTATCTTTCGAGATTCATACACCATGGGTTGCTCCTCCTTTCCTTGGTCTTGAATCAATATGGCTCCAATAGCAAAATCAGATGCGTCAGTCGTAACTATGAATAGTTTCTCCAGGTTAGGTATAGCTAGCACTGGGACAACAATAAGTGCCCTTTTCAATTCATTAAATTATTGGTCTTGTTTAGCCTTCCATTCATAAGGTTGGCTTTTATACAAAAGAGTTGTAAGAGGCATGGCTAATTTAGAGCTGCCATATATGAATTTTCTATAAAAATTTACAAGTCCCATAAATGAGCAAAGCTCATGTATATTTCTGGGTATAGTTTATGTCTTAATAGCTTCTAGCTTCTTCAGATTGGTTGCAAGTCCTTCTGATGATACAATATATCCTAAAAATTTAATTCTGCTTTTACCAAATTCATATTTCTCTATTTTCCCGTATAACTAATTTTTCTGAAGCTTTCTTAGCACTAGATTTATGTGCCACACATGATCTTTTTGTGACCTACTATATACCAGAATATCGTCAAGGTATACAATTACAAATTTATCCAAGAAGTCATGGAATATATCATTCATTAGGTGCATAAAGGAGGCTGGGTGTTCGTTAAACTAAATGCCATCACAAGGAATTCATAGTGGCTATAGCAAGTTTGAAATGCCATTTCTGGAATATCTTCTTCCTTAATACACAATTAGTGATATTCCGAGCATAAATCAATTTTACTGAAATACTTAGCACCTGTGAGTTGGTCCAGGAGGTTATCAATACAAGGCAATGGATATTAATTTTTAATTGTAACCTTATTTAGTGCTCTATAGTCTACACACATACGGAGAGTACTATCTTTCTTTGCTACAAAGAGCACTGGAGCTCTGTAA